AACTATGTGTAGAGCAAGTTTACTTAAGAGCACTTGCTAGGTTTACTTAATAAAATTTTGAAGAAATTTGATTTTGTCAAAAAATTTTTTGAGAAAATTTGGTACAGAGAATCTACAGATTAAGTACGCAATATCTATAGTCTTTAGTTTGTATACTCCAGATATAATAATATCATGAATATAGTATGATTATTTCCATTTTTCATGAAATTTATCACCATGAACTTTAGTTTGAGCTGATTGATATAATAATACTTTGTTACCAATATAGAATTGTTTTTTCTTTATATATTCATCATAATATTCCTTTTGTTTTCCTTGAGCTACTTCAATATTTTGTTTAGCTTTAATTAGATTTGTTGTAATCTATGTGTTATATAATCAATATAGTTTTAAGTTGTTGTTCATATGGAGGCTTCTCAATAGATTGTTGTAGAATTACTTGTAAATCAAGAAGAGTATTAGCTTTCCTTCCATATAACAATTCAAATGACCAGATAGAATTTGTTTACTAATAGCAAATATATATAATGATACATAATAGTAAAACATATATAAAATTGATAGTTCATATTTTCAAAAGTTAAAATTTTATCATAAAATTCAAATTTTATTCTCAAAAATAGCTGAGATAATTGTGTTTGAAGTATTAAATAAAAAAATTAAGCACCTAACCTATAACTTTAATTAAACCTTTAATTCTAGCTCTAAATGAAATTTCTTATAAATAATATAATAAAAACAAAAAAATATTACCAGTTATCTCAAATAAATTCTTAGTAATAATAAACAAATCGATAACAAAAATATAATTATATATGTTAATAATCAAAAAAAATAGGAATATTATTCTTTTTACAAAATTCTATTGCTTCCAAATGATTATTTTAAGCGACTTTTCTAATATATTTTATTCCCAATTTTTCATCTTTAATGTCTGTAAGACCAACATAAAGCATATTTCCAACATTATACATACCAACAGCAAGACCATTTTTAGCAGCTTTTTGGAAATATTTTGCAGCTTCAGAAAAATCTCTATCAACATCTATTCTTTGAAATAGATATAATCTATACTTTAATTGTGCATCAAGTACTTCATTACCTGAATTAGCAACTTCTTTGAATAATTGAGCAGCATGTTTCTCTCTTTCTTTATCAGTATAGGAAGTATTTACTAGTTTTTTAAATAGGTAATATCCAACAAAGTATTTTGCTTTTAAATTTCCTACAATTAATCATTTAAATTAATAAGCAATTTACAAATACTAGATACAAAAAAAGTAAATCCAATTACCTGATTTTGCATAAGCATTAAAGCATTTGAAAACTATTTCTAAGTTTCCATTATTAATACGATGAACTAAAGTTGCTTCTTTTATTGTCATATAATTAAATTCAGCAAAGTTAATAACCTCAGTAACTTTAATATTATCATTATCTTCAATTAGAGGAATTTCTTGAGATTTATGAGGGATTCACAGAGAATAAAAGTTAATAGTCTAAGTGAGCAAAAATTATCTTGAAGTATTTTAAGTGCTTTGAACATTTCTGTTATAGTTGGTCTAAAATTGGGATCAGAACCAATAGCAATAATGTTTAAAAACATATAAAGTAAATAAAAATGATCTTAAATTCAAGTATAAATTATGATAAAATATAAACTTTTCGTAGCAATTTTCTTATAATCTTACAGTAAATTAGAATAATTTGTATATAGTTCTTGATATTTTTCCTTATCTACATGATTTTTAATTTCTATAATGTCATCAAGATTTTTATATGGAATCTTTTGTTCAGCTAACTCCAATAAAAGGATGCCAAAACTAATTGTTACAAAAATTGATATATAAAAGTTAAAATGTAAATTTACTACTGCAAAGTTGCATATTTTCATACCTATAAACTTCACATTTAGTATTATATTTATTAGTATTTCTGTACAATATTTCAGAAGCAGTGTAACATACAGTTTGTAATGAAATAGCTAATATTCTTGACTTATCGATAAACTGTCTACTAAATGAAAAGTTGGCAATTTTAGCAGTTTCATTTGCTATTATAAAAATATTTTCTAGTCTAATATCTCGATGAACAATCTAAAAAATTACTGTGTAATATTTATTGATATCTTCATATATCTTTAATTGTTGCCTCTTTCATAATTGCAAATTACCTTAAATCTTCTTTGTT